TCACTATTAAAATATAACATATAAGATAAACAAGAACTTAAACCCACGAGGATTACGGTTCAAGCACTAATTCACTATCGCAAACTTAGTTGGACAATCGAAAGTGTATTTGGAAACAGGATTTGAATTGCAAAATTAAAATATTAAATATTAAGCTAATTACTTGCAAGAATTAAAGACAAGAAATTAAAGATGTGATTTAACTAATAAAATAAAAACGTAGCTAGGGGTTCGATTTCCTTTAATCTCCTTATTATGATTCGAAGTCCTTCTTTACGTTAACCGTCCTTAATATCAATCTAACCAATTCTTTCGCGTGTTATTAGAGCTCAATCCCTTGTTACCCTAAAACCTTTACAAACTTGAAAGAATCCTAGTTCCCCGGTTATTCCCCAAGAATGCAAGCATTAAGTTCAAGAATCTTAAGGTTACGCAAATTCTATGTCTATCCCTAGAATCATAGCGTTTACGATGAAGTTATCAGATATGGATCACACACCAACATCCCTATTGTCATGCATTTACCGATGATCATTATATAAGATTCAAGCCTATATAAAGCATTAAAAACAGATAACTTCATTCATGATAAAAAGGAAAATTAACGTACGAATTATTCAAAGCATAATAAATCGACTAAAATCCATCTAACCCTAACTACTTAAAGAACTAGCCGGACATGGCAAAATCAAGAACAAAAGAAAATAGAAAAGCTCCCCCAAACTCCATAGGTGATTGGTGGATCTTCAAAATCTCCAGTGAACACTTGACGTTGATCCGTCTCCGCCGCTCACGAACATGAATCTGATGTTTCTCCGCGTTCCCTCCGCCTCCAAGCACCCAAAAGTTGTTTTGCAATGTAAAAGTTATGTATTTCTGGTCCCCAATGGTGTTTAAATAGATCAAGAGTTCGTATTGCAGTAGAAAACTTGAATGGGCCTAAGTTGGACTTGTCTGGGCGCTTAAGCTTGTGAATGGGGGCTTAAGCTCCCACTTCTAACAACTTGATAAGATCTTCAATCTTATTGTTTTCACCTTGATTCATCTTCTTTTCTGATTTGATCTCTCTTTATCTAAATCTTCATATTTGAATCATTTGTTATCAAATCCCTTTAAAAATAACAAATATATTAATTAGTTCCAACAATCAGATAATGTTCATGATTATCATTTTAAAACCATAATTTTTGACTTGTTCAACTAGATAATTCATATTATTTTAGTCCATTAAACAAGATAAACTAAAGGTTTATCATGTGTCATGTCATATCTTGATGTAAAGAAATGAATCATTCTCATTAATTCTGTAAAACGATTACATGGGAACTATTTATAATCACACGCTACAACTCAAAGGTTTACAATCGAATAATAACTAACTAACTAACAAGTTTGATAACAAACTAACTAATTCAGTTATTCTTCCATCTATCATGATTGGTTCCACGTGGCTTGATAATGTGTGAGAAGGAGAAGTTAATTTGATGAGTTGGGCCTGGATTAATTAACTCTGGGCTTGAGTCAGATATGTATGACTTTGGTAAGAGCCCCCCGCAAGCTGGACTGAGTAAGTTTACGAGGCCAAGCTTGGACACACCAGAGATGAAAAGTGAGGATGATAGTGATTTGGTAAACATATGTGCGACCTGATTAGCTGATGATACAGGAAGAAGGCGAAGTAGGCCAGAACGGATCTTGTCACGAGTAACATGACAGTCAATGTCAATATGCTTGGAGCGTTCATGGAATGTTGCATTGTGAGCAAGGTACATAGCGGACCGGTTGTCACAGTAAACAGAGGCAGTGTGCCATGGTAAGCCAAGATCATGAAAGAGGTATTGGAACCACTGCAATTCGCAAGAGAGACTAGCTAAAGCTCTGTATTCTGCTTCTGAAGAGGAACGAGAGACAGTGGTCTGTTTCTTCGAACGCCAAGCAACCAATGAATCTCGTATGAAGATGCAGAAGCCTGTAACAGATTTGCGAGTAAGAAGACAGCATGCCCAGTCAGAATCAGCAAAGGCTCTTATGTTCAAGGAGCCATGTGAAGGATAGAAGAGTCCATTAGCAGGAGCATTCTTCAGGTACCGTAAAATTCGTTGAGCAGCAGTAAGGTGATGATCACATGGGGAAGCAACAAATTGACTCAGATGATGAACAGCGTATGCAATGTCTGGTCGAGTTGTAGTTAAGTATAATAGCCTACCAATCAGTCGACGGTAAATTGAAGGATCCGATAATGGAGGACTCTGCATTTGAGTGGCAGATAAAGTTGGAACTATCGGAGTGGAGACAGGTTTTGCAGCAAGGAGTCCAGCAACTATCAGTAATTCCAAAGCATATTTTCGTTGGTTTAGAAGAATTCCAGACTTGGAACGAGCAACCTCTAAGCCAAGAAAATAACGGAGCTTGCCAAGATCCTTAATACGAGAATGTGCATGAAGAAAATCTTTAACCCTTTGGATCTCTGTCATGCAGTCACCTGATAATACCACATCATCAACATAAATCAGCAGTACTGTGAAGGAAGTTGCAGTTCGAAATGTGAACATGGAGTGATCTGCCTGGGCTTGAATATATCCAAAAGACAGAAGAGCAGAGGACAGTTTGGCATGCCATTGGCGGCTGGCTTGCTTTAGCCCATATAACGATTTCTGGAGCTTGCAAACTAGATTTACAGATGATATGCCAGGAGGAGGGTCCATGTACACCTCTTCATTGAGGTCTCCGTGTAAAAAGGCATTATCCACGTCTAACTGCTCAAGGAACCAACCTTTGGCAGAAGCTATGGCAAGTAATGTACGTACAGAAGTCAACTTGGCAACTGGTGAAAAGGTATCAAAGTAATCCCCTCCCTCTTGTTGTGTGAAACCTTTTGCAACTAATCGTGCTTTGTATCTCTCGATTGACCTATTAGATTGGTATTTGATTTTGTAGACCCATTTTGATCCAATTGTTTGTTTGCCAGGAGGAAGTGGCACCATCACCCAAGTGTTATTGAGCTTTAAGGCATTCAATTCTTTGTCCATTGCTTGCTGCCAGTGTGTGAATTTGGCAGCTTGTGTGTATGTGTGTGGTTCAATATGAGATGAAGAATTGAGACAGAAATGATGATAAGAAGGAGTGCAAGTATCATAGGAAATAAATTTGTATAAAGGGTACCTGGTAGGGAAATTAGAATCACTTGGATTACTCTTGGTAGCTGTGAAGAGCCCAACATGATAATCCATAAGATATCTTGGAGGTACTCGAGCACGTGAGGAACGACGAAGACTTCCATCTATCATGACATCTGGTTGAGAGGTGGCATGTTCTAAGGATGGTGGTGCATGTTGTATGACATCTGGTTGAGAGGTGGCATGTTTTAAGTTTGGTGGTGGGTTAATTTATATGGTGACAGGTAAGTTGGTTGTGGTGGGAGGGATTATTAATGAGACTTGGGTTGGAGGGGGGTGGAAGTGAGGTTGACATCTGGTATATTTGTTGATGTGTGTGGAGGGTGAGGTGGCTGTGTGAAAATGTCATAAGAAGGGTTGTTTGGATGGTGTAAAGTAGAAGTATGTGATGGTGAGGTGTCTGAGGCATGATTTGGTTGAAATGGGAAATGTGTTTCGTAAAATACCACATTTCTTGAAATGAAAGTTTCTCTGGAGTTTAGATCATACATGAGGTATCCCTTTGTTCCTTCTTTAAATCCCAAGAATATAGCCTTGCGAGCCCGAGGAGTGAATTTGGTTCGGTGAGCAAACAATGTTGAGGCATAGCACAAGCAACCAAACACTCGAAGATGTATCAGCAGTGGAGGCTTGTCATATAATCTCTGATATGGTGTTTGATTGGCTAGAAGAGGAGAACATAGCATATTGATAACATAAGCAGCATGGAGAATGACATAACTCTAGAATGAAAGTGGGAGATTGGCTTGAAATAGGAAGGCACGGGCTACATTTAGCAGATGTTGATGCTTGCGTTCAACTAAGCCATTTTGCTGTGGGGTCTCGACGCAACTAGTTTGATGAAGAATGCCTTTTTTCTTATAAAATTCATTCATAGCAAATTCTATTCCATTGTCACTGCGGATTGACTTAATGGAAATGTCTCAACAAAGGTAACAAAATCATGAATGTACTGACGAGCTTCACTTTTGCTTTTCATAAGAAATATCCAAGTAAAACGCGAGTAATCATCAACCACAGTAAGAAAGAAACGATGACCATTTATTGATGTAGTAGAAAATGGACCCCATATGTCTGTATGTATCAAATCAAACACTTTAGTGGTCTTAGTCTCACTGGAATTAAAAGGAAGCCTTCGCTGTTTTGCTAAGTGACATACATCACATGGTGCTACATGTGTAGATGGAATAAAAGGTAAAAACAAAGACATTTTCTGTAACACATTTTTCGAAAGATGTCCCAATCTTCTATGCCATAGGACAGATTCATCTGCATCGCTTGTTATAGCTCCACAACTGCTATCTGCTTTGTTTGTATGCTGAGATTCTTTATTGATTATCATGTATAAGCCATTTCTCCTTTCAGCTGTACCAATCGTCCTCTGTGATGGGATCTGTTTGATAAAGCATAGCTCAGAATCAAAGGTGAGTATACTGTTAAGGGTAGTGACAAGTTTTGATACAAAAATCAGATTGACATGAAATTGTGGAATATATAGTGCATCATGAAGAATTAAATTGGGTGTTAAACAAATGGTGCCTGAGTAATAAGCATAGACTTGGGAACCACTTGGGAGAATTACTGATAAAGGAGCAATGGTATGAATTGAAGAAAAATCAGAAATGGAATGTACAATGTGATCTGTTGCACCTGAGTCTACAATCCATTGAGTATTTGGGCTACCTGATTTTTCTTTTGTTTCTGTTGCGTTTATACTGGAAACCTGGGCCATGTGGCTCACATGATTTGTTGCAGGTGCACTAAGAAGACCAGTGGAGGGAGACTTTTGTAAAAGCTCCATCAATTGTTGATACTCACTTCTGGTCATATGCATGTAGGATTCTGAATTCGAGGCAACTGAAACATCTTGATGAAATTCTGAGGATCTGTGCTTGCAGCATTTGTATTGGAGATCCTATTATTATTGCGGTAACCTGGTGGAAATCCATGTAGTTGATAACATGTCTCAATTGTGTGGTTGTTTCTGCCACAGTGAGTGCATATGCGAGTAGTCTGAGATCTGCCTCCAAAGTTTCGACCTCGTCCTCTTCCATTAAATCTTCCACCATAACTAGGACCTCCTCTCCGATTTGTGACATTGAAGACTGATGACTGGTTTGCATCAGTGACATGATTGTCCAATTTGAATTGCCTTTCTTGCTGAGAAACGAGTGAAAAGGATCGGTTGATATTTGGTAATGGACTTATTAACATGATCTGAGACCTTACAGATGCAAATTGATCATTTAACCCTCTCAAGAACCTTATAACTTGTTCTTGCTCACGATACTCTCTCATCCTAGTAATTGCTCCACATACACATGGAACAGCACAAACACAATTAGGGAGAGGTTTGAGGTTGTCTAACTCATCCCATACTGTTTTGAGGTGTGTGTAATAATCAGTAACAGATCTGTCTCCCTGATTCAAGCAAAAAGTTTCTTCCATCAAATCTGAGATTCGAAACACATCACCTTGGGAAAATCGTTCTTGTAGATCTAGCCAGGCGTCGCGAGCATGTTCTATCCATATGATTGATTTCACTATGGATTCAGATATGGATCTTCGGATCCATGCCATCACCATCGTATCACATCGTTGCCAAGCAGCAAACGTAGGTTCGTCTTGATTTGGTGCAGGAATGCTGCCATCGATGAAGCCTAGTTTATTTTTAGAAATCAGTGCTACCTTCATTCCTCGAGCCCATGAGTGATAGTTTTCACCATTTAAGGGTGGTGAAACCAAAACCAGTGCTGGACTCTCATTTGGATGCAAAAACAAAGGATGCGAAGGATTTGTTTGTGGATCAGGAATTGCAACAAAATTTGCCATGGAACTGGTTGAAGAAAAATCGAATCAGAACCGAGAGAAAAACAGAGGTTGAAGAAAGGTTGGTTGAATAAACGAGGAAGAAGAAAGGGTTCAAAGCAGAATACCAGAGCTCAATATGAGCTCTGATACCATCTTGATGTAAAGAAATGAATCATTCTTATTAATTCTGTAAAACGATTACATGGGAACTATTTATAATCACACGCTACAACTCAAAGGTTTACAATCGAATAATAACTAACTAACAAATTTGATAACAAACTAACTAATTCAGTTATTCTTCCATCTATCATGATTGGTTCCACGTGGCTTGATAATGTGTGAGAAGGAGAAGTTAATTTGATGAGTTGGGCCTGGATCAATTAACTCTGGGCTTGAGTCAGACATGTATGACTTTGGTAAGATCATAGGTTGACAACTTGCAAAATTTGTTGTCCAATTTTTTTTAAAATAAAATTTGAGTGATCTTGACACAGTTTATTGTTAATCACGGGTCAACCTGTATATTTTATTTAATTTTATCCTTTTTTTATAAATTTTTTTAAAAAATCAAGTTTTTAATTTTTGAGTGTCAACCAGTGTTATTAAACTTGATCAGGTCGAGGTACTGAGTCACTACCGATTGACACCGATATATATAAATATGAACATATAAATTTAATTATATAGATTCTCCATATCTAAAACGAAGTTAAACAAGATTCACTAAATAAGCTCAAAAATTACTCGATTACACTTTTATAAGTTCATAAAGCACAAATAAATGAAAATGTACACTATTACTATGTTAGTTAAAATTGTAACTCATAATCCCCACAAGCATACCTCTAAATTGTTGGGTTTCCTCCTTCAATGCTAAGCCCAAGCCCATTGAGGGATTTTTCTAAAAACCCTAACCCTAGTTCTCACCTCCTCTATATATTCATTAGTTGTGGGTGGAGGCTAGGTTAAGAGATTAGAGAGAAAATTTGAGAAAATAATTTGATTGTTTGAGCAAAGCTTTATGCTTTTCATTTGAGAGATCTCTAGAGAGAGTTTGAGTGAAACATCTCTAGGGTAGTTTGATTATCATCATTGTTGGAGAGGTTGAGTTAACCACCACATTGGTGTATTCTGATTATTTGTAACCATTATTTTCATAGTGGATTATTTGATCTGGACTAGGTCCCGTGGGTTTTTATTTTTTCATTGAAGAAGATTTTCCCACGTTAAAACTGGTTGTGTTCTTCTTCTCTCTCTCCCGTGTTTACGTTTTGATTTCTCCGCTGCGCTGCCCGACCTGGTGAAATTCAGGCAAGGTATTGCTGAGATCTGAGATCGAGGATCTTGTTGATTGACTTCCGCACAAAGGCTGCTTAGCCGAGCTTGAGGGAACCGAGTTCCCAACAGTGGTATCAGAGCCCGAGTTCGACGGGTTCTGAGGGAGACGAGATGGAGACCAGTGGCATAACCAATGATGGAGACATGTTCAAGTTGACCGCAGATAATTTCACCTATTGGAGACCGATAATGGAAGATCATCTCTACTGCAAAGATCTACATGAGCCCATTATCCTTGATGAGAGACCGGCAGGCAAAACTGATAAGGAGTGGGAGATCCTGAGTCGGAAGGCGGTAGCCACGATCAGGAAATATATTGATAAAATCCTCTTTGAGCACATGTCCGAGTTCGCGAACGCGTATGAGTTGTGGACGAAGCTGGAGTCCATGATTCAGAAGAAGACTCCCAGGAATAAAGCATACCTGGTTCGCCGACTTGTGAAGCTTGAATACAAGGACGACATGAGCATGATTGAACACCTCAACACCTATAAAGGTATTGTGAATCAGCTGTCAAAAGCTGAGATGAAAATTGATGATGAGATGCAGGCTTTGCTGCTGTTGAGCTCGCTGCCAGAAAGCTGGGATACTCTGGTGGTGACTTTGAGTAATTCAGCTCCAGAAGGAAAGTTGAAGATGGATGTCGTGACAGACAGCCTCCTGAGCGAAGAAGTCAGGAGAAGAGAACGAGGTGTTTCAAGCACGTCTGAGGCCAACCTTGCTGAGAACAAAGTGAAATCTGACTCCCGGGGTAAAAACAAAAGCCGGGGTAGAGGTCGTGACAAACGAGACAAGTCCAAAGGTCGGTCAAAGCCGAAATATGAGTTAAAGTGCTTTTACTGTGGAAAGACAGGCCATAAGAAGCCAGACTGCTGGACCCTACAGAATGATGAGAAGAACGACTCTGTGAAGCCGGATCAGATTATTCCCAAGAAGAGGGAAGACAAGAGCACCACTACAGTGGCTGCCAACCCGGATGCCGAGATATTCCTCCTTGGTGAGGATAATTATTTGAATGTTGCATATGATGACTGAACCTGGATTGTTGACTCTGGTGCCTCCTTTCACGTTACTCCACACAAAGGTTTTTTCTCCTCTTACCGAGCTGGTAATTTTGGAGTCGTGAAAATGGGAAATCAAGTGACCAGCAAGATTGTTGGTGTCGGTGATGTAACTCTAACCACAGATGTCGGTTGCCGACTTGTATTAAAATATGTAAGGCATGTTCCTGACATGCGTTTGAACCTAATCTCGGTAGGCAAACTTGATGATGCCGGGTTAGTGAACTACTTCGGCAGTGTTAGATGGAAGCTGGCCAAGGGAAACTTAGTCGTGGCCCGAGGTAAGAAGGAAGGCTCCTTGTACGTGATACAAGGAAAGATCAATGGCGGAGAAGCCAATTCTGTCCGAGATGAACCTAGCTTGGAGCTATGGCACAAGCGCCTCGACCACATGAGCGAGAAAGGGCTCCAGATCCTGAACAAGAAAGGATTATTAACCGGGTTGAAAGGCCAAGCGTTGGAGAGTTGCACGCATTGCCTAGCTGGAAAGCAGCACCGGGTTTCTTTTGTGAGACCGGATCAACCTAGACGACGCAGGTATATTCTTGACCTCGTCCATACTGATGTATGCTCCATGTCGGAAAGATCCGTTGGAGGAGCTTAGTACTTTGTTTCATTTATTGATGACCATTTCCGCAAAGTGTGGGTATATTTGTTGAAGTCTAAAGACCAGGTACTCCAATCCTTTAAAGAATTCCATGCTATGGTTGAAAGGGAGACTGGAAAGAAATTGAAGATGGTCCGATCTGATAATAGTGGTGAGTATTGCAGCCAATTTGATGCATACTGCAGAGCGGCTGGGATTCGACTAGAGAAGACGCCCCCCAAGACACCTCAGCTGAATGGACTGGCTGAGCAGATGAACAAGACTATTGAAGAGAAGGTCCGAAGCATGTTATCCAATGCCGAATTGCCGAAATCATTCTGGGGAAAAGCTGTCAAAACAGCTGTTGACTTGATCAACCTCTCACCATCACGGCCACTTGAAGGAGAAATTCCAGAAGAAGTCTGGACAGGTCGGAAAGCGGCCTATAATCAATTGAAGGTGTTTGGATGCCGAGCTTTCGTGCATATCCTTAAAGATGAAAGGGCTAAACTTGATGCAAAGACCAAATAATGCATTTATCTTGGTTCGCCGAGATGTGAGTTCGGGTTCCGACTTTGGGATCCAATCAATAAGAAGATCGTGAGAAGCCGAGATGTGATCTTTCATGAGAATGAGAACATTCATGACATCTTGAAGCCCAAAGTCTGAGTTACTGTTAGACGTGAAGAACCCATCCCTCCTGTCCGAGCTGAAGCAGGGGGAGAAAATCAAGAGAACGAAGAAATTGAGGACCAGCAACAAGCTGAAGATGACCAAGACACTGAGGTCCGAGTTGATGATGAGATCCGGGATGAGAATGATGAACCGGGTCCTCAAGCTGAAGAACAACCGGGATATCTAACTCGAGAAAGAAGACCCTCTACAAGATACCCATCTGATGAATACACAGTTGTCGCTGAAGACGGTGAGCCTCAGAGTTATGATGAGGCTGTTACGAGCTCAGAGAAAGAAGAATGGGAAAATGCAATGCAAGACGAGATGAAGTCTCTGCACGAGAATCAGACTTATGAGCTGAACTAGTTGCCAGAAGGAAGACGAGCTCTGAAAAACAAATGGGTTTACAAGATTAAGAATGAAGAGAACGAGAAAAAGCCAAGATACAAAGCCCGGATTTTAGTGAAAGGCTGCAATCAGAAGAAAGGAGTAGACTTTGAGGAGATTTTTTCTCCTGTGGTGAAAATGACCTCGGTCTGAACCGTGTTAGCCATGGCGGCTTCGATGGACCTCGACGTAGAACAAATTGACGTGAAGATGGCATTTCTTCACGGTGATTTAGAAGAAGAAATATCTATGGAGCAACCTGAAGGATTCCAAGCTCCAGACCAAGAAGACTTGGTATGTCGGTTGAAGAAGAGTCTCTATGGCTTGAAGCAAGCACCTCGGCAGTGGTACAATAAATTTGAATCATTCATGATTGATCATAAGTTTGAGAAGACTGAAGCCGACCACTGCGTATTTGTGAAGAGGTATAAGGCCGGAGATTTTTTCATCTTGTTGTTATATGTTGACGACATGCTTATTGTAGGGAAAGACAAATCGAGGATAGCCGCCCTGAAAAAGGCGTTGAGCTCGTCCTTCGCAATGAAGGACCTCGGCCCTGCAAAGCAGATTCTCGGAATCAAGATCATCCGAGATAGACAGAAGAAGCTACTGTGGCTGAGTCAAGAGAAATATATTGAGAAGATTCTGAAGAGATTCAGCATGGACAAAGCTAAAACAGTGAGCACCCCCCTTGCCGGACACATAAAGCTGAACCAGAAGCAATGTCCGAGATCTGATGAAGACAAAGATGAGATGATGAAGGTCCCGTACCAATCCACTGTCGGAAGCTTGATGTATGCAATGGTTTGCACTAGACCCGACTTGGCATATGCTGTTGGAATGGTAAGCCGGTATTTGTCAAACCCCGGCAAAGAGCACTGGGAAGTAGTGAAGTGGATCTTCAAGTACCTCCGAGGTACGACTGACTTATGTCTCAGATTTGGAGAAGGCAAAGCCGAGTTGCAAGGCTA